CAAATAGCGTAAAGAGACCTACACTCTTTTTTAACCGTCACGAACCAGCTAGTTTTTTTGTTGTTGTCTCCAGTATTTAACGAAACACCTTCACCATACAATAAACTCCTTCTTTCGGTATTTACAAATAAAGCGCCAATCAAAACTAGATTAGCTAACGCCAACTTCAAAGAAACGCGCTTGAAGTTCCCTCTTCTTGCTCACGAGATGCTCGTAATACACGCGCATTACTTTATCAGCGCCAGATATGCATTTTCGTGGAAATGAATTAACTTTCGCTTGATATAAAAAGATCTTATCGCAAACACTTAAATAAACCATTTATATAATACGCAAAATTCGACCAGATGTTCCCACATTTTAACACGCAATTTTACGTTTTACAATTAAATACACAACTCTAAATATACAATTTACACTAAGACACAAATTCAAATGAAATAAACTAATTCTGTGCTTATTCTTACATACTCCCGATTTACTTCACTAAATTTAAATATTTTTAATATACAGGGTACCCCGTCATTATTTTTGAAAAATTCGAAATCGGAAAGAGAAGATTTATTATTTTTGGAAAAATATACAATGCTTCATTAAAACATTACCAAATGTGTAATTTTTTACTATTTATGCCATATTCATTTATGTTTTTTTCCTTTCTGGCGATTTATGATAAACCCCACAACATTTGTATTTAACGTTTTATTTCTATCTCTAATAATAAACACGTTATGCACTGTCTAAATATACGGAATAACCACGTACAGAAAACTAAACAAGAATGATTTGCAACAATTACTGGAACTGACAAGCGAAAGGACATTCACTCTCGACTTTGAAGCGAAGGTCATATTCGATACCAATATTAAAGCGTTCTGAAGTGGTCTTTAAATAAACTTGGGCAAGGTCAAGGTCATGATTTTCTCCTTGGATTCACAATTGCGTCCGATCGCATTATAGGCGTTTTTAAACTTCTTTTTTCGTTGATGTCCCACTCTTCATTGCGCCCAGCCACTTGCGTCGTGTGATAATAAAATACTAACAATAATAAAATTATGCCTACACACGGTGAGGGGAAAGGCCCGAATTAATTACATCTTTGTCTTTATTTTGTAGAAAAGTGTAATAAAAATAGCTAATTGTTGGCGCGTTTGGCATAATGCTGGGCTGCGGTACTGGAGGTCCCTGGTTCGAATCCGTATTCCGGCATGGATATTTGTAAATGTATAGTGAGTGGGGTTGGTCTTGGCTGAAACCCCGCCCCTTTAAAAATAAAGATAAAATAAAATAAAGTTAAGTAAAGATGATGATATTATTGCTGTGTGCAGTAGCGTGAGGTCACTACGCCACCCACAAAACACTGCCCAGCTAGCTTAAAGCATAACAATCTTTAAATTAAGAATTGTATTTTCCTCGTAGACGTCCGGCTCCTGTCATAATTCCAAAAATACACAAAAAATACAACTATTCATTAACTCTTGAGTCCCGACAATTCTTGGGCATGAAAGGAAAAATCTGACATGAAAAACTCTATCCGGGTGGCACATTGGGTTCGAATAAACACGCAATTAATTGGTTGCAGACAAAAACCTATTTCAAAACACAAAAAAAACCCTGAAAGAAAAAAAGGTTACTAAGCTTGTTTGGATATCTCTTAGATGGGCGACAAGATAAATAAAATAAGAAATCTTAAATTTTTTTTTTTTTAATAATCCAAATAATCTGGCCGTACAAGGTTTGCGATATTTAGGCGCACTTAATTCACACACAAACGCTGACAGCTTCCGAAAATTTCATAACAGAATTAGATGACAAACAAAACTGGTTCGATGAATTAGATGAAGAAATTTTCGATGGCTGTTCGGACGGTAGAAACTTTTAACTTTTAATAAGAAGAGAACCTTAACAAAATGCCTCGCTGTACTACAACTGCTTGTATTTTCAACTCGACAAATCTTCTTCCGTAATCGAACAACACGCGTTACACTTCTTACACCACTTTGGTTAACTCTTTTCTGCATCGATTTGTTATAAAAATGACGAACCGCGTCTTCAATATAATTTAATAATCATTTAATAATTTAGCCGCAAAACGCTTTTCAACCGTGGCGAAAAGTAGGAGCAACAGCCTCGTTTACTCGTCTTCAGTATATAAGGAAACACCACTTCCACCATCAAATAAACTCCTTTAACCATTTTAGAGAACGTGCCAAACGTTCCCACTTTTCGAATATGATACGCGCAATTCTTCGTAAGACCTTATCCCTTAACAGCGAAAAAACACGTGCGTTAATTAATTTTCGCGCGATAGGCAAACGACCAGGTGTGTCTTAGTTCTAACACCTCATCTAAATTGTCTCATTTACAACAGCGATAAAATTAAAACGAGAAATTACGCATCTAGCAAATTTCTAAGAGGAAAATCACTGAAATACCAATTCAAATAAAACAAACCAACTCTGTACTTAATCATAAATAACCTACCAGATTTGCACTTAAAAGATTGAAATATTCCCACATACAGGATGTCCCGTCATTATCTTTGGTATTTAAACCTGTGATATTAACTCATATTTTGTACTCAAGAGTCGGAAGCTAGGATGTGCTTCTGCAATGGAAAAGGGTATCATTTGTGATGGCTATAAAATATGAAGATTAAATTCCATCAATTATTAATTTATGATTGTTGGCATTCACTGTGTAATATACCTAACTTTTCATTCCTGGCTACGTTTTAAAAGACCCTTTAGTACCACAAGCAAGGCAAACGGTTTTTGGAAGAAATAAATAATAAAATAAATCGAAAATGTAACGAAAAATTAATAATACATTTCCTTTTGGTTATACATTTTCCTCTGTCGAGAATCCAGTCAAAGGAAACTAAATGGAAATGCTGTTGAAGAAATTTCTGTGATCACCATTCCTTAGATAATAGCGATAGTGGGCGTGGTGTCTTTTTATCAAAAAACTGTATATGAATATTATTCCTCAGCTATTTATATTTGTTACGAGTGAGCCTACATGGCGGCTCCTTTTTGTAGTGCTACTCCTTACTTTCGTTGTTTTGTGAGCTTTTTTCTGCCCTTGCACTCAGGAGACCTGAGCAACCAGTAATTGCTACGCATAAAAATCCTTTCCCTAAGCTAAGCTATATCTGTGCCAAATCTGACCCCCTTATTACTAATAGCATTTTCTTTGTATGGTGCTAAGAAAAAGTTTTGTGAGTCATATGCTGCTAATTTATGCCAATATCTCTCACTCAACCTCAAACAGAATAAAGGCGCAACACTTCGTTTATACATTAGATGTGAAATTCGTGCATGTTCCGTTTAATTATATCTTTCTAAAATTCAGCAATATGACACCGAGGGCTTCGCCACTTCTTGAAATAATAAACTCGCTTTTAATTAGCAATGTTTTCGGTTTCCGGACACAATCATTCTGTGTACATTTCCAAATTAGTGTACAGATGGTCCGAAAATGATCTGTCAATTCACAACCCCTTCAAATATCCATCTGCATTGGGGTTTCAGAAGAAGACAACAGAAATGCTCTCACTAATTATTGCTAACGTACATAATCATTGACATATTATTGTATAGTTGTCAATCAATTCGCCGAAGCAGACACACAGGATTTCTCTGACCTACCTTTTTTACAGCCTGAATGTGATTAATAAATTAAGGTACTAGTTGATTCGGTAAAATATGATATTTGTTAATTTTTTTTGATTTGGTGGAACGATAAAAATGACAGGTTATAGAAGACATTAATAACGGTGACAGCTAACGAAATTCTATAAATACAACTTTAATATGATATACGGCCAGAAATATTGTATTCCTTTATTCCGTGAATTTATAAAAATAATTCATGGCGAGTATAAGGATGTGGTTAGATTCCTAGCGGTTTTTTGGTGATGATGAATGCACGTACATTACAGATGTACGCATGGATATGATCATAATCGTCTTTTCTTTTGTAAGCCTCATTGTAGCGTGATTTTTCTCTGCGTCATTTTCAATGATATTCATACACAGCTTTAGGTGTGTAAACTGATATCAAGTAGGTATAGTGTGTATGTTTTGGGTGGGACGATTAATATTAATACTTATACGAATAATGTATTTAATAACTGTACTGTAATTTCCTAATTGATTACCACAAAACATTGATTTGGTCCATTCTGAAAATAACATAAATTCAAAAAAATCTTGCAAGAAAAGAATAATTAAAACAATTTTTAATGGAATGCTTCCTTAGACGCACTTTAATCTATTGCTTTAGATTAAAAAGTAAGCTTTAATAAATCGTTTAGAATAAATGGAGGGGTTGGCTGTATGCCTTGGGGTAAAAGACGTGTGCTTGAAAATATCATTTAACCTTCTGTCATTCGATCTGACTTGTCAGGCGCAAAATTGATATAATGCTTAATTCATGTCACTTCCTTTTATATTCTAAAACGATTCTTATGCATATGTATTTAGGGGTTGCTCGAATACAGGAAGTATCACCATCTCTCGTATTAATGAAATTTTTCCACGATGCAAATTAAACTTCCTCTATGTTTTATATAAAAAAATTTCCCGGTTTCGTAAACATATCGACAAGTTCGATTTATCGACGATAACCATAATAAAGTTTGAAGATATATTAACAAAAGCGAATGCGTGTAGGGTCCACTAAAGCTTTTAGTAATAACACAAAATAAGCGAATCTGTATTCCATATGCTTACTGTAATAAAGTGCAGCCATCAACAATGCCTGGTTATTTTTTGGGTTGTTTCGAGCTGAGTGGAGTAAATGGCCTGTGTGATCAATCCAGTTGGCAGGAGGATTATAAAGTGTTGCTGTATGTATGAGGTTCATTAATATTTGGAAAAATACGTAGGGAAATTTTGATTTTCTTTTTATTGGGGTACACCGATTCCTTCCATTTCAATGCGTCAATACGTACTTGTTGAGAATTGCATAGAATCTAACGTTGTCATTTGTTTCAGGTGTTATCTGTGGAAAATTGCAGGTGAGTTCTTAATTAGTTTTGATGATATGATTGTTAAACGCAGTGTTGAAAAACTGATTCACTAAAGGTTCTTATGACTGACATATTCAGTTATGGCAAAATTAATATCCAGAGATAAAAGGGGGTGAAGTTTTTCCATTCAAATTAATGCGAATCTGTCTTGACTCGTAGACGGCTGGATGTATGGGTATGGATAATAATAATAATAATAACAATGTATATTTTGCCCAAGAGATGAGTATCCAATGAACGGACAAAATCCATAAACAAATACGCAAGCAAGTACAGCAACAAAAAAGAAAATTCAAATATATAATATATGAGTAGTAATAATTTCTAACAATGAAAATCTAAAAATTGAACCCTAGATAAATTCAAAATATCATAGTTTTTAAAAAACATGTTAGAATACTAATACATTCTATAAAATGGCGAATTCTTCAAAATATTATATTCACAATAAAATGTATCGTTACCACGATAACCAACACGGGTAACATAAAAGTTTGTGGTTCAATGGTAGAGCGGTGGACTATAAATCTGGAGGTCGGGTGTTCGAACCTGCCGGCCGAATTAAATAATTAAATAAATACATAAATAAATAAATAAATAAATACATAAATAAATAAATAAATAAATAAATAAAAAGTTACGGTATTGTAACAAATCAGGATAATCGATCTTATTGTGGATAAGGTTATGGAGAAAAGACATACTCGTTTTTATTCTACGATTTTCTACAGTCCATATTATTTGCTAACAATAGTTCGTCATGATCGCAGTGTAAATCGGGATAGGTGCGATGCATTCTAAAGTATAAGTATTTACAACATTTCCTGTGGACAGATTCCAAAGACAATTTATACACATTATACATTGGACCCCATATTAATGATGCAGATACTCAAGCTTAGATCGAATTGTAGCAAAATATAATGACCTAATCACCAGTATATCAGTAAAAGCTTTGGAATTCCTAATAACAAACCCAAGTAATCGGAGAGAATCATTTTTAAGTTTACTTATGTGCAAATTAAATGACAATTTAGAGTAAACATCAATATCTACCCTTAACCCTTCTCAGACTCTGGTTATCTAAGTTATAATTAAAGAAATAAAAGGGGGGCTAGGTTAGAACCTTGGGGTACACCAGATGTTGGTAAGTAAACCATATAATTGTAATTATTATACTCATATGACACATACTGAAGGCGATGTTCTAGGCAAGGACGACATAGGCGAAGTAAATTATTATTAAAGCTGAATTTATAAAGTTTATGGACTAAAATTGTATAACTAAGGGCCAATTTTACAATGAAGGTATATACCGAGAATAAGCTATACCTAGAATAAATGCTAATCCGATCAAATGCCTTTGATACTAGCTTTGATATATCCGTATATGACATGGCATGGCCCTGGAGGTGCAGATGGATCGATAAATATGGCACGCAGGTATAGAACTCCTGACATTAAAATATAGTCTAGAATAAAGGAATAATTCATAGATTTTGGCAAAGTTACATATTTATCAGCCATGTAATAGGTTTAATAAATACATTGGCACAATCCTTAATTAGAAACGCAGAAATTTGATCCGGTCCGGCGGTATTTTTATTTTTTAATTTCGAAAAGCACTCTTTACTATCATCTTCAGTGGCCCGAGTAATACAGAAAGATGACCAAGGATCAATACCGTGCGGTTTAGTATAAGGAACATTATCAGGTGCAAAAACACTACTAAAAAATTCACAGAAATTTTCAACAATGAGCAGAAGTAAATTTCATATTATTAAAATACATTTGACCGGGAATTCTGGAGTTACCTCTTTTAGAGCTGATATAAGACCAGAATTGTTGACAATCTATTATCACAATATACAAATCTGTGCAATTATAAAATCAATTTTTCGATACCCTGAACATAGATACGATAAGCTATTCTTATTTGATGCATGATACAAATACACTCATGATTTGATGTTTAATTTTTCGCCTTATCTCATTGTAGTTAATGCGATTTGATTATAAATTATACCTTTTATATAATTTAAAAATTTTGCTCTTTATGATCTTTATGAATGCATTTATTGTATCCCCATTCTTACAAACTCAAAGCTACATAAGGTTCCCTTACTAAGCTTTAAGAAATCAGTTTCTGAAATACTCGAAACAATCAAACTGCTTCTGTAAGGAAACCACAGATTACCCCACCTTCTCTTGTTTCATGTCTACTCTTCTACAAAATTTAAATGGTGGGCTGACTCGTGGTCTAAATCAGATCTAACACAAATTTTGATTTCCATGGTTATCAGGAATGTTTCAAAATGTGCATGTACTTGTTATAATGGTGACATGGTGTACATTTTGAATATGATACAGTAAATGGTGGATTTATATAATCTTTATCATTAGTTCAAGATCTTGCACCACGAGCCAATTGCCAAAATTTGACTTTGCACTGCGGGCCAATTGCCAAAATTTGACCGGGCCCGCCAACTGCCGAAATATGTTCCCACGGTTAAATACCGCAATACCTACTAGCAATAATCGCCGTGTTTATGTAACCAAAACGATAGCAATCAAAAGTAAATCTAGACCTGGTTAAAGATGTGTAGTTTCCAAATTATGTATTACACGACCCCGCCTAAGGGGATGAAATGACTTTAAAATGAGGTTACGATTTGAGCATTTTCTTGTTAATTTGGACACTGATACACTGAGTAGACAAACTTTCATTGTGTCAAGTTGTGGTACAACAGATCCACCACCAAATAATGAATTGATGCACATCATCAATTGACCCGATCTTTTCAGACTACTTTGATCAGGAGCCTATTGTTCAAAGGACATTTTTACCTAAAGTATCTTGATACTTCATACTTTAATATATGCCTGGCGTTGCCGCTTCTCCCAGGATTTAGTCATAACCTTAACCCTAGTACTGTTGACTCTGTTGTCCTGTTGACAACTGTTTCTACACTGTTTTGCCACAATTTAATTAAGACCACGCGTTTAATTCGCTTTATTCATTCATGTCTTTATAAAGACAAATTCCACTTGGGCTTCAGCCCAATTTAAGCCTGGATCCTCCTCGCGTTCAAACTTTACCGAATTCTTTACTAAAGTAGGTAAAGTAAAGAAAGTAAACACAGAACTCTCCAGGGACAGCCGTCCTCTTTGCCGGTCCAGACTGAACTCCCTGGACATTTTTACCTAATGCATCGTTATCTAAAATACAGTTCGGGACATTGCAGAGTCACATTAGCGAAATGTGCAGGACCTAAATCTTTAAAGTGAAGATATTTCGGGTAACAGAAGTTACGTCCTTTTTTGCATTTCTATTCCAAAACGGGAAAACCCTGCGGAAATTTTAAAATGGATGTTTGTGAACTCACAAACAGATTAAGAAACCACCGGACTTTCTGAGTAAATGCAAGGTATTCTTCATACGTTTCCATCCACATGATTTACAACATTTCTTGCACCAATTTTACTTAGGGTGGTCTGCGCACGCGCTTACCCAATTACACGCCTAAACCCAATTTGTAGGAAAAGGTATCATCTATCTGTATCTGTAATTAATTATTCCTTCTCAAATCATTTCTATTTTTATGGTACTAACAACACAACATTTCACTAATCAAAGTCCTTGAAGGACACAATCTGTATTGAATATAAAAATACAAATTACCTTATATATAGGATGTATATACTACCGTCAAGTCGTCCAACCTTGGAATTACTGATTTGCCTAGGGTTCGAGGAGATGGAAATTGGCTTACTGAAATTGAACCTGAGTTTGTAACGGAAGGAGTTTTTCAAACTGAATGCACAGCGATGGCCGAGTTGATTGGTAGAGTATTAATTATACACCAAAGCAATCTAAGCGGATGTTTAAATGCATTTGAACAAGATAGTTCTTCTTTAGTGAGTAGCTGGAGCTGGTATATATTGCCATGTTTTTTGTTTCCTTTACAGTTTTCCCTCGAATCAAAATGAGTACGGAAGCTAATCACGTAGTTTTCCCAAATGCAATGGGTTAACTTTTTTTCAAGCGGATCGATTTATCCGGTTTTCGGTCGATTTACAAGCACGTGAATGAAATTTTCATTGCGTAAGCACAACATTCACACAATCCCCAAATACGTATCCTAATTATTTTGATACCCTGTGGAAACTGTAATCACTTTATTTTTATTGCGCCCGTATAACTGAATGCTTTGATTCTCTCTTCTCTGGATCCGTTCCCACATGGAACTAATTAGTTAACGCGGCCATCTTTAACCATGAACAAATTTTGAGGCGTCGTTTTTATATTCCCGGACTAGATATGAAAACAAAAGACTAGTGCAACAACAACATTTTATTTTTCAATATATTTCCCCTGCTTATTTGAATACCTACAGGTATAACCCCATTTCAATAACATCTTTTATCCAATATAAAATATTAATTTGGTTCGTCTGCAAAATGGTCCTCGACAGTTGCTATAGGTACTTCCTTCGTCACTCTTTCAAAGTTTTGTTCCTCTTAGTGTTTTTTTTTGAGATTGAAGAACAACGAATAGTCACTGGGTGCTAGATCGGGACTATAAAGCGGATGTTCAATTTTTTCAAAACCAAGCAGCTTTTGAGTCTGGACTTCTAAGGCGATGCATCAGGTTTGTATAATACTCCCCCGTTACCGTAATACCCTTATTCATATAATCAATCAGCAAGAGAGTCCCAAAAAATGGTTGCCATTACTTTTCCTGCAGAACAGGTGACTTTAAACTTGGGAGAGTTGTTTGAATTCATAAATGATGAACCCAGGTTCTCCAGTAACAAGTCGGTTGATAAATAACAAAATCTGGTTCATCTCCCCTGGGCGCCAAGAACTGCTCACAGGTCTATATGCGAACACGCTTTTGGAATGGCGAAAGTATTCCTGGAACCAATCTTGCACTAACCTTTGTCATCCCAAAATAAATTCTGAAAACCGTGGTTTCTAACTTCCCG